TGTAACCAAGTATTAGTTATGCTGTGTCGACTGATCATTTTATAAAAAATTTTATTTGTTTCACCTCAGCAACCTCATTTCAAGTCTCTACGGGACATTTGGCTGTTATCTCATTCTCACCCCATAGTACACTTGGGCGGGAACAAGTAATTTGGTTTGCCCCAGCCACAACATCCCTCTTTATATCTCTTTCAAACCAGAGAGGCTGTTGTCACATCTAACACCAGGGTCAGCGTTCACACAAAGTACACTGCAACCGCGTGTTGCTTATTCTCTAGCAATAAAACACTTTACCAGTATGAGCGTGCTGATTGGTGGCTGGCCAAACAGAATATGCGTGACAAATATGTTTACATAAATACAAATACATCCAAAACAAAACAGTGTTAAAGGGATCATATGATGCGATTTCAATTTTTCCTTTCCTGTCCGCAATGAAAGCCGAAATGTTACACAATGCAGAACAACAACAGCCAGTTACAGCCAATACAGTTTTGGATCAATAGTATTTCACTGTGGGTGGGGCTACTCTAGCTATAGGATTTATATTACAGCATTTCCCTTACAACGCATTAAAACTCTGAAGGCACGTAAAAAAAAAATTTAAAGAAGACTTGACTCCCCAGGGTAGGAACAATTTCTTGGTAGCATATCACATTGACGTGTACTGTGAAACAGACACACTGTTATGTAAGAATAATGTGTGATGATTATGTGAGTTTTCACAGGTGGTGCATAGCAGCTGCTGCTACAAAGTCAAAGAGATCAGTCACTGGAAGTGATTACTTTTACACTACTTTCACCTTTAAGAATCACAGACAAGTGATTTTTAAAGGGATAGTTCACCTAAACGTGAAAATTCTGATTACTTACGTCCATGTTGTTGCAAACCTTTATGACTCTTCTCTGTGTGAATATCTCCCCAGAATATATTTTTTCCATATACCGTAATACAAGTGAATGGCTACAGTGAAAAAAAATCCATTATACAATATCATAACAGTAATCCATAGGAATTGTTCCCTAATGTTCCAAATCCTCATAAGTCATACAATAGCTTTGAAGGAAAAACAAATGGAAGAGTGAATAATGACCTAAATTAGTGCATTTGTCTCATGAAGTGATCATATGACTTTCAGAAGACTTGAATATAGCACATGTGTCAAATGTACTGTTATTGTGGGACTTTTTGATGCTTTTTAACACAGTTAAATGGATAGTTCACCCAAAAATGAAAATTCTGAAAAGTAATTACTCACCCTCATGTCATTCCAAACCCATAAGACCATGGCCGGACTTACCATTGGGCTTGACTGGGCTGCAGCCCAGGGGCCCCGCCTTGTAGGGGGCCCCGCCTTAACCCGTTTACATTTGTTCAGTTATGTGCCAGTCAGAAATTATTAGTTGCATTTCAACAGCGTGCACGGGCCGGCCGGGGCTATCAACTTCCAACTTCCAACTACGACATTCAAAGCCATAATCAAACAGAATAAACTGGAATTTATGATTTTTTTTCACATAGAAAAAGGACACGCGTATTAAATCATGTCTGCACTGCGCCGAATCGCCGATTAATTTGTGATCACATGGCTACTTTAAACGGTTCCATTAAGCCTTTAGCCCAAAAGAGCGCACATTTACAAAGATAATGATAAATTCTCACATGTTCACGCCTCACTTCTTTACAGAGGATGATTCTATATTATATTAATGTTCCACTAAATTAATCTGAAGAGTTTTGAGCGCTCTCTCCGTTTAATCACCTCCTGAATCTCGGTGCGGGATTGCGCATTTTGGTTTTACTCGTTTTCGCAGGTTTCGCATGTTTGGAAAATTCCCGCAAACATTTAATATACAATGTAGGTTAGATGAGTTAAAAAAAAAAAAAAAATCACACAGTATATCAGATTAAGTCAATCATTTGAAAACAGCGTGTGTGGTTCAGCTGTACCGCGTCTTCTCGCTCTCAAAACTGCCTCACATCAGTGCATCTCGTCTGCACTAAGAGAGCTGCTGCACACTGCGATACAAGACTTTTGCTCAGCTGACAGGACTGTCACTTGCCTAATCGGGTCAGTGTTGCATCATCATAAAAGTTTATCATTTGCAAGTCTTTTTAAGTCTTTTAGTAGACTTCTGGGTGCTCGCGGTCACATCCAAAGTGCGCGCACATGAAGCCGCGCAAACACCTTCAGAAAAAGTTATTGTTTTCATTTTTTCTGACTCCAGTAACCTTGCATTTTAATAAATAATGTTACATAAAGACAATTAAACGGTCAGTAATAAATTAACAAGTTACTAGCAATAGCACAAGGATACAAATGAAAAACGGTTCTTTAACTTTTTCAGGTAGGCTATAGCCTAAAACTAACAGTAGCTGCTACTGTTCAGGAACAAAATACTATGATGTATAAAGTCATAGATATAGATTATATTTATATATTAATCCATATTAAATATGAAAAGGTTATTTAGTCAAGAGCATATTTGAGCAGAGTGATTTCACTCACTGCTCTTGACTGAATAATTTTTGTAACTTTAATTTTAAGAATTAATCTGTTGTTTAAGTTACAGTGAATTTACTGTTTTTAATTTACAGTTTATTCCATTTCTGCAGCATTTCTGTACCTGAATATTTTCCACCAAAACGGTTTCTAAAACAAAATTCAGGTCCTGAGTTTAATTTATAATACTGGCTAAGCAAATTACAATATACTTAATATTCTGGCATTCAGTTATGTGATTATGTAACTTATGTTCTCTGCATGAAGTAACGTCTGGCACAGTCGCAGTCTGTGCTCATTAGAAAGCAAACAAATAGCACTAATAATCATACATTTTCAGAATATCCGAAATATAAGTAATGTTAAATAATGGAGCATTAGGTCATGAATATTGCCTTAAAAGTCATTTAAATTTATTGGTTGAACGAACCCTGCATTTAATCAGTGAATGCCTACGATATAGGAGTTAGTAGCTGTCACACAAACTAGAGGCCTGTTTTTCCGAATATCTGCACGACCGCAAATGTACAATAAACAACAAGTTACTGAGTAACTTTCAGACACAAAATTCTGTTTTGCCCCATCAATGCGTCTCCGAGCAACACAGTGTTTTGTTTCTCAGCATTACACAGACCAGTAAATGGTTCAAACAGGCTATTAGTACAGTCGTTTGCCAAGTTAAATTAATTAGCATTTTAAACAAATCGGTTGATTTAAGGATTCAACTCACTCATTAAGACAGTCACTTGCTGGCGGTTGTAGTTTCATATTTTAAAAAGGAGCTCATTATTTAATTTTTGCAATCATTTAATATTTCTACATTAAAATGTTGTATTTAAACTTAACATAACCTATGCAAAATCCATCTATGGATTTTGTTTATAGTGATTTCATTTGATTGTTAATAGCCAACATGTTTTTTTTTATTCAGATTGATAAATTGAAGAATCTGACATAAAAGGACACAGATATGACTATACATTTTCATAATAATACATCTCTTTGTTTTTTTCTGCTCAGTGTTATTTCAGGGTTTTGATCTCTCAACTGAGAGATCACATCCTGTTTATTGTATTATAGTGACTATTTAATATTACATCTAAACTTTGACTAGGCTAGACATGTTGCCTATTAATTGTATACAGTATATGAACCTGAAAGCATATTTAAATTTTTGTGTATTTTGTGTTTCTCCATAATAATGTTCTAGTTGAGGGCATTTGTAGCATAGGTATGGGGCCCAAACATAACCTCAAGCCCAGGGGCCCCTGGCCCCGTAAGTCCTGCCCTGCATAAAACCTTCGTTCATCTTTGGAACACAAGTTAAGATATTTTTGATGAAATCCAAGAGCTTTCTGACCCTCCATAAACAGCAACTGAAAATTAAACGGTTATGGCCCAGAAAGGTAGTAAGGATATTTTTAAAACAGTCCATGTGTCGCGGTACTCTCGTGAATGGCGTCAGGGACTGACCCAGAAGAGAAGAAATCATTGAATTAAGTCGTTATTTTTGTTTTCTTTGCACACAAAAAGCATTCTTGTAGCTTTATAACATCATGGTTGAACCACTGATGTCACATGGACTATTTTAACAATGTGCTTACTACCTTTCTTGCCCTTAACTTTTCAGTTGCGTTGCTGTCTATGGAGGGTCAGAAAGCTCTCGGATTTCATCAAAAAGATCTTCATTTGTGTTCTGAAGATGAACAAAGGTCTTACAGTTTGGAACGACATGAGGGTGAGTAATTAATGAACTATCCCTTTAAAACTTCAGTCCCCAATCACTCTAACTGAAACAGGTGACCAGTACTGGTACTCTATTTAAAAATTCTCCCTTTGTATTCAGAAGAAGAAAAAAAGTCACTCAGGCTTTAAATAACGAGAGTAGGAGTAATTGATGACAGAATACATTTTTTGCATGAACTATTCCTTTAATTTTCTTTGACCTTCAGTTTTGCTCTTAGCTTCGAGCTTGTGTGTCAGACAGAACAGAACTCCAAAGCAACAGAAAGACAGACAGCTGAGCCATCAGATTATGACCATCATTGCTGACACATTTGTTGCTTGTGACTATGATGGTTATTCACACAGACTGTGTTTGTCTCGCCTGAGCTAATTTCAGCCTGACCTTTGTCACTATCATCTGAAACCAAGATGTTAGTCTGAATACACACTTTCTCCATGTCAGTGATGTGGAATCAGGATAAAATTTGGCTGCCAGACATAAGCAAAGCATCATGTCATTGTGAATCAACAACAAGAGCAAGAACAACAACATCCAAATATAAAAAAGACACCCAAATTGTACATCCTGTGAACTCATGTAAGAATTTGCTAACCATCCTGAATACAACGTTCATCCAATAATGTATAGATATTTAGGCCCTGTGAGTATAATTGGTTGCTAGCCATTATAATAATAATTATTCATTATGAGATATATTTCATATCATGTACCAAAATTTGCATCGCACCATTGTAAATGGTACCACTTACCAAAGATTTCCCCATTCTTGGCGTATTCCGTCACAAGGTACAGCATATTCTTGGTCTCCATTACCTGCGTGAGGATGAAAAAATAATGTGTTACAGGTAAAATCCTCTGTCTTTGATGACGTGCATAGATCCAAAATACACATGAACCACAAAGCGAGTGCAAAAAGTGGGTTGAGTGATAAAATGACTGCTACATTCAGCTGAAATCTGAAGTATCCCATTGAGTTCACAGTATTATAATGAAACACACATGAATCAGTGGGATGCTGGTTTACTCTTATGCTCGATTCACAGTGCAGTTTTAGAGCCAGCAATGCGTGGGAGAACTCCAGAATTAGCCAAAGAAAGCAAAAAGATGAAGACCTAAATGTAGTGAAGAGAAGCGGAATGTTATAATTCAGAAACATTCACAGCGTCCCACATAAACACTACTGACTGCCATTTATACAGTCAGTTAGTTTTACTGATACATCGGCCTCATCTGTACAGAGAGGCTTTTGTGGAAATCAGCCTTATCTGGGCTCAACTTGTAGGGGTTTTTCTGCTCTTGCCATTTAAAGGCATTACAGAGTTGACTAATAAAATCAGCAACTAGGCCAGAATATGAATCATCTTTTAAACTCCTAAACTAATTCTCCTTTCCAGAAACATGTTTTGATGGAAGCTGTGATCTCAGAGCTGTTCAAAACACAATGATCACAAAGCACTTCTTATCCCAATCAGCTGCCAAATAAGCAAATAACTGGAAATAACTCAAATTATCTCATGTGAATAGTTGATACTACACTGGTTGGCTGTCCGTTACGTGACACATCAGCAGTGGTTAGTCACATTACATCAAGGGATGGGTCACGCTGTTGCCAAAGATGACTGTCAACAAACTAGGACTATCAATCAATTAGAAATGACATAATATGCCTATTCTAATACATTGCAAATAATTTAGTGTAGAAACGATTGCTAGTAATTTTCTCAAACAATTACAAAAACTTAACACTTTGTACACAAGTAACACATTGAATTAAACATTTGATGTAGAAAAACTAAAATAGTATTAATTTGTAATAATTTGTTTTATTTACAGCCTAGAAAAAAAGATTAAAGTTTGTGTGTGTATGCAGTGTTACTTTTAAAAGTAATGCATTACAATAACGTGTTACTTCATAAAAAGTAACTAATTGTGTTACTTAGTTACTTTTTATGGAATGTAATGCATTATGTAACTTTCGCATGACTTTTTCTTACCTGGGCTAGGCTAGCTTATTTATTTTTTGATAACAAAAAAACCCAAAAGTTACATTTTTGGCCCTTTCACACCAAAAGTGAAATTAATAAGTGCCTCTGCACCTCACTCCTAATTTCTCTTAATATGGGACAGGAGAGGTGCCAGTGAATAAATAACAAAGTAACTTTTGTTATTTATTTTAAAAAGTTAATCAATTTTAAAAACTTAAGATATTTTGTTGTTAATTTAAAAGTAATGCGCTGCTTTACTAGTTACTTGAAAAGTAATCTGATTATGTAACTCGCGTTACTTGTAATGCGTTACCACAACACCGTGTGTATATGTATGATTTTATAAACCGTGGTGGCCAAAATGATTAGAATACTAGTATTTCACCAGCTTAAAAAAATTGTTTTAAGTCAGTTATTTCTATCTTTTGCTGTAGTGTCAGTAGGAAGTATCAGTTTACATTTCCAAACATTCATTTTGCCATTAATTGTAATAATCCAGTGAGATTTTTGTTTGCACAAGAAGTCTGTCAACACCTAGTGCTCCACACAGAGATCTGATCTCATCATCATCCAGTCTGTCTGGAATGACGAAACAGAACAAACTGAGACAGACTCAATCCAGAAGAACTGTGGCAATGTCTCATATATTTATATAGTGCTTTTACATTAATTTTATATAGTTTTTTACATTAATATATTCATGCTTCATAAAGAATTTGATTATGATTATAATGTGCTTGAAATGCATGTGCGCTGCATATGCACGTGATCCCATCTGATATGACCAAAGAAAAAGCTGACATGTAATGCTGGTGATGCAGCTGCTTGGTGTTAGGACCCTAAGCCATGGCAGATGGGGCAGAGGGAAACCGGGGGTTAGAGATGAGATGGCAGGGCCTGCAGAGCTGCCCTCTGTTTATGAGGCCTGAAAGGATATGACTAATTGACCCATGCCGTTTGAATGGAGTAACCGTTGGAAATAATGATACACTATGATTCCACGGCAAGGGCTTGGACTGATGCCGCTACGTTGTATAATAAGGAAGCGCTATTCCCATTCCCAAAAACCAAAGTAACCTAAAGTCTTACATAATGCTGCAGTGAAGTCACACTGGGGGAGGAGTTATCTCATCTTCTAAGTGTGACTTTGACTCCAAAGTGTGAATGATCTCTAGTTTAAAAAAAAGGCTTTTTCTAGCTGGACAACTTGAATGTGTTCATGTGAAAGTTTACTGTTAGCTATTAGCTTTGGCTTGATGGCTGGTCACATGGTGAGAACTGCATGGTGTATCATATAATTTTTACTGGGAATATTAATTGAATGATTTATGAATGAATGAAACGCCTTTGTCCGTGTTCACTCGGTCTTGAATCGTGCTCACGGAAAGCGCTTGAGAAACAGTGTCTCTTCCGTGGCTTGGTACGCTTTCAACTCGTGTTTTTATTTTTTTTTGTCTCAAGTAAGACACTGTATGACATTCACGTTACATGACTTGACTGATTTTTATGTAGAAAGGGTGACAGTGCACTGCATTAAAAGAAATGACATAGGCGGTTTTCATAAACGCTGGCCAAATTCAAAGACAAAACTAAAATTAAATTATCTTTGAGAGCAAGGGGGCCCTACGCAGCTTGCGTACCTTGCGTATAGGGAGGATGGGCTCTGATAATACACTATGAGTGTCTGTTTCATTCCATTTAGTTTGGTGTGAATTAATGCAAGAACAAGTCCTGGGTCAACACTCCCACTCACAGACATCTAAACCCATCTTTCCACTGTTGCCTTGTCCAAATACCCACACTTGTGGTCCTGGCCACTTGAGAGCGCGTGTGCGCGACAGGAAGTAAGCATGCAAGGCAAGACTGTCCCAGATCTTAAAAATGCCTAAGCGCAGTGCCCTTAACGCACACTATCTTGAATACCGCTCCGGAGTGCTATTCGAGGCTTAGTGTATCCCATCATGCATCATGTTTTGGAATAAAGCATGAGATTTTTGCCGAGATATCGCGAGAGGTCACGAAAACCTTTCCAATGCAAGTTAAATATTAATATAATAATTAGATATTATTACATATAATTTGGTAGAAAAACAAAGTGTTGCACGTATTATTGGTGCAAAGATGAGTAATGGTGATATTTATTTTGGACAACATTTGCAACTGCTTTTAATCACTTAATTAGAAGCACCACAAATTGTGTCATGTTATAGGCTAGGATACTGAACAGACCTTTAGAAGTTGATTTTAAAATGCAGAGTACTGAAACGGAAATTAAGCTATGTAAACACTTGCATTTTTACAACATTATAAGTAGGGTTGAGTATCGTTTGGTTTTTTTTCGATACCGGTGCCAAATCGATACTTTTAAAACTGTTCCGGTGCCTAAACCCATACTTATAAAAAAATAATAATAATAATTCCCCCCAAAAATTATGGATTGGCCATTAGAATAGAAATAGAATAGAGAGTGCAAATGTTAGAGGGTCAAGTTTTTTAATAAAAAAAAAAAACAAGTAGATAAAATTAGAAGTAGCATTAGAATAGAGAGTGCTAGAGTTAGAGGGTCAAATGAAGATAAAAGAGGTGTGTTTTCAGCCGTTTCTTGAAAATATTAAGGACTCAGCTGCTTGGATTGAGCTGGGCAGGTCATTCCACCAGGAGGGAACAGTTAATGTAGAAGTCCATGAAAGTTTTATCATAGGTAGAATGCAAAATGTTTCAATACAAGCATTTCAGTCAAATGTAATTTATGCAATATTTCAAACCTTTAACCCACTTGGGAAAATCAACCCATGGCAACAGTTTAAAAATAGCCCAATTCTATAGAAAAAACACGGACTTGGCACCCTGCATCCAACAAGAGCTACCGGAGTCAGCTTTGACTGATCACAGGTCGAGAATAAGGAGAGATGACTGACAAGACCATGCTGGAGTATTTGCTGCTCAACAGATTCTGAGCTCACTGACAAATATCTGATCTTGTAAGATGTGCTCCCTTTACACAGAGTGTGTGATCGCAAAATCGAAAGTGAAAGTAAACAGTGCAAATGCGCATTCAAAAAATATTTAAATATTTAACACATTTGACTGGTGTTGTGGAGTAAAAAGGTTATAATTTTCTCTTTTGTTGGACAACAGGTTTAGAAATGTTAATATAAGGGAGGTTTAGCTTTAGGCATTTTCATTTAAGCATGTTTAGCTTAGTTAACGGAAGGCTACCTTCAGAGCAAGTGTAATTACTGTATTCACACGCTCCTCGAATGCTCTCATTTCCCGAGTTGTGGGAAAAACTTGAAGTCGGAATGTGAAAACAACATGGACACTCTCGTTATTACAAAGATGTGTTGGATTTGTATTATTAGAGCTTTCCCACTTGAGTTCACGTGCATTTTCTCAGTGATGATGCTTCTTCCGTCCGTTTCGGAGAACCAGAGGACAAATATTTCAATCGATCGCTCAGGCATGGCACCGAAATCTGCGTTCGGATTCGGTTCTAGTACATGCCGGTTACATAGGTACCGGTGCCATATCAACCCTAATTATAAGTGTGTCCCATTAGGTAATGAAAAGTTCTTCACACACTTGTGGTCTTCATCCTCACTTGAACACTTGGCCCAAATACAGGAAATATATCATAAGTAGTCAAGTGGTCAAGTGCAAAGATCGATTATAAGATTATAAAAACGCTACTTTGTGATATCTATTAATGAATTAGCTAAAACTTAAAATCAGTTATTGTACCAGCCACAACAAGCTGTAGACTCTCAGTTATCAGCCCAGAAATTCCACACTGGTACATCCCTCATAAAATCTTACTATTTTTTAAATAGGTTTTTTTTAAATTTTTTTTTACATTTAGTCATTTAGCAGATGCTTTTATCCAAATCAACTTAAAAACGAGAAGCACCACAAGCAATTTATCATATAAGAGCCAACAATACTGGCAGGAAATGGCCTGGGCAGGCATTACCTGGTACAGTTTAATGATGTGCGGATGGTCCAGCATTTTCATGATCTGTACTTCACGATAGATCTTCTCCAGGTTCACAGCATCCAGCTGGGTCTTGTCGATGATCTTTATAGCCACCTGTTGAATGAAGGGCACAGAGACACACTTTCATTGGCATGAAGCCTAATGCCTTGAGCTACTTGGTGAAATTCATTAGTCATGTTACTGTCTGCAGTGCAAGTCGATCCAGTCTTCACAAGCCCCAGCGCGGATCAAAGGCAAAATACACGTGAGCAAAGCTAATACGCACCTGAGCATCTGGTTAACGGCTTAACTACTGAAGTAGGCTAATGATCCAAATTATCTTATCATTTTCCCACAGGCTTTTCATCATTTGCCAGACAAATGGGAGAAGAACAGGAGTTATTTACCATTTCATAACCACTCATACCTTAATCCCCCTTTTGATTTATTATTGTATAATAATAATCTTCAGGTAAGTACACAGAAGCGGAAAAAATAGAACAGATTCCACAATTAAGATTTTGACCTGTATTTTATATCATTACAGTGAATAAAACATTTATCTTATGAAGATTTACAACACTTTGGTGCTTCAGCTTACTTCCTACTGTTAGTATAAGGAATCTTTATAGTATAATAGAATAAAAAATATTTTTAAAGACATCTTGAAAAAATATCAGTCAATCTTGATGTACATTAAACCACAAATATTTTTAAATGCCTAAATAAGGTACCAACCCTACCACAATTTATATATTTTTCCAACACTGCTGCATTAAAAACCATTAATAATAATGTTCCAAAGAATAAACAGGTGGGCCCAATGAAAATATTGGTAAGGATTGCAAAAATTCAGGCTAGCAGAAAAACAACATAATGTAACGAAAAAAAAGCAAAAAAATTGTGTGTGTGTGTGTGTGTGTATATATATATATATACACACACACACATACATATTTTTTTTAAATTATATTAAAAAAAAATAAAAAAAAAATATATATATATATATATATATCTGATTGGTTTATAATTGTAACTGATGCTTTAAAGATTTGTTCTTCTCACGCAATTTCAACAAAACAATTTGTTTGCCAAGCAGCATCTAGGTGACATCAACAGATTTTGCAACAACAATCTTTTTTTCACATAAATCCAAATGTTTACATTTGAAAGGCATAAAAACATATTCGCATGAACAATGCGATCAATGCAAGAAAGACATAATGTACTTGGCAAGTGACAGTTCTGTCTATCGGCCTGAAACTGTCTCACACTGACCCCAGGCCAGCCTTGTTGTTGACCCCTGGAAAGCATAACGGTAACTGACTGAAAACATTAGAGCACATCACTATGAATCAGCTGTCATATGTGAATGTGGTTAGTCATTCTCATTGGCAGTAACAGTGATCCAACTGTCCGTTGAAACCATGAACAATGCAGGCGATACACAAAGCAGAAGACACATGCTACCAGAGCATGTGTAATCTGAAGACAGCTCCGAGGAAGAACAGAGAAATCACAAAACACAAGAGACTGATGGGAAGCAGAGAGTGTCATCCCCACAGAAATGAAGCCGCCTTGAGGCAGCCATTGCAGAGATGCATCAACTGTGTACAACATAATCCTGTTAAATAGCATAATTCCACACAGTGCTCCAATGCTAAACTCTACATCTGCAGACTTGGAGACTGTCTTAAAAAAACAGCTCTCTGGCCAAACGTAAATTACAGCTCGCACCTACTGTTATAATACCCTGAACCAAAACTTTACTGCAAAGCAACACAATGTCACCAAGGTCAATACCTTGGATTTTTAGAAATCATTTAATGCAGACCGCACTTGCAAAGCACAAACATTTTAGAGCTAAGTGTAACTATATTTTTAAATAATTTATGACATTTTCTGTGACCACGGTAACCTTGTGTCATGCAAACAGTGCTCAGCAGGGTTTCTTTGCAAGGAATGCCAGACAATCATCAGCTCAGGTTTAGTAATGAGACGACATCCATTATCACAAAATCACCCTTATGCAACCACTGCACAAATGCACAACAGCATGGCCCACATTTAAAGGGCACTAAACCAGCATAATTTCTTGCTATTGTACACAGCCTTTGTCTTTCTTTGACAACTAGTTTTGGACACCCTGCACTTTTGGACTACTCTGCATATTTCAACTGAGGCGTTAGGCTGCTGGACATGCGTTTATCAGTGCATGCAAAGCTGCACAAAGGCTTCAGCTAATTGTAGTCAACATACTTCGGACCAGGGTCTGAACTGAACTAAAATACAACTGAAAGTGACAAAAATGCCTCCGGTATTAAAAATGTTTTTTTTTTAAATGTTTTCAACACATATTATATGGGTCTGATAATAATGGTATTTTATTACAATCTCACTACGATATTACAAACTAATTCTTGTTTTTAATGTTATTAACATTTCTTATATCTGGATATTGGCTTGATGATTTTATTTTACAAGGAAAAAAAACAGATTTCAATTAAACATTTAAGTGTTCTGCATTTTGACAACATAAACATATTCAAAACACACAAAAAAAATCAGCCATGATTTGAAGTTATAAAACGTTCCTAAAAATCAAATCCATGTGGCTCCTTAAAAACCGTGACACCGCTTCAGACAAACAGGTTGTTTGTTACCCAAAGATACTAAGTTCTCACATAACTAGTATCAACAATAGTATGATACAATCAAGCCAGTATGAGTACAACTGAAACTGCTATCTCGTAGTTTTTGTGTGCAGTGCACAAGGGTTAGTTAGAGGGCTGAGCAGCTGATATATTCTCAACTCACCTCTGTCTTGGTTATACGATGTTTTGCCAGTTTCACAACAGCGAAATTGCCCTTTCCAAGAGTCCGCTCGATATCGTAGAAGCCCACTCGGACGGGACCCCTGAGCACTGGCTTTTGGTGACAGTCAGCCATGACCATGCTGTTAGTGAAACACTAGGGTTTGTGGCGAGAAGATAGAGACCTGCCACTTGAGCCTCAAGATAACGAGGTCGGCAGAGGCTAAAACTTGTAGAAATGCCAGCGTGCCGCTGACGGTCCGCTCCAGTCTCAGCAGAAGAAGCAGGGGAGCGTTTAGGAGCGCGGCGATATATCACGCCACCTCCTTCAATACAATAGAGCTCTAATATTTCTGTTTTTAACACATATTATATGGGTCTGATAATAATGGTATTTTATTACAATCTCACTACGATATTACAAACTAATTCTTGTTTTTAATGTTATTAACATTTCTTATATCTGGATATTGGCTTGATGATTTTATTTTACAAGGAAAAAAAACATTTCAATTAAACATTTAAGTGTTCTGCATTTTGACAACATAAACATATTCAAAACACACAAAAAAAATCAGCCATGATTTGAAGTTATAAAACGTTCCTAAAAATCAAATCCATGTGGCTCCTTAAAAACCGTGACACCGCTTCAGACAAACAGGTTGTTTGTTACCCAAAGATACTAAGTTCTCACATAACTAGTATCAACAATAGTATGATACAATCAAGCCAGTATGAGTACAACTGAAACTGCTATCTCGTAGTTTTTGTGTGCAGTGCACAAGGGTTAGTTAGAGGGCTGAGCAGCTGATATATTCTCAACTCACCTCTGTCTTGGTTATACGATGTTTTGCCAGTTTCACAACAGCGAAATTGCCCTTTCCAAGAGTCCGCTCGATATCGTAGAAGCCCACTCGGACGGGACCCCTGAGCACTGGCTTTTGGTGACAGTCAGCCATGACCATGCTGTTAGTGAAACACTAGGGTTTGTGGCGAGAAGATAGAGACCTGCCACTTGAGCCTCAAGATAACGAGGTCGGCAGAGGCTAAAACTTGTAGAAATGCCAGCGTGCCGCTGACGGTCCGCTCCAGTCTCAGCAGAAGAAGCAGGGGAGCGTTTAGGAGCGCGGCGATATATCACGCCACCTCCTTCAATACAATAGAGCTCTAATATTTCAGCTGTGTTTGCGAGAGTACACGAGTTGACTTGCAGGAGGCATCATGTTCTCTGGTTGACGTGCATTGACGTCAGAGCCTATGGGGGTATTTGCACAAGGGGCGGGGCTTCGAAGCGCTTCCACACTCCAGTGCCAATTCGTTTCCAAGACGACCAGACCCACCTCTTACGTCAACGGCCAGAGCGTCGCTGTGTTTGCTCGAGCGCTGGCTGTGAAAGCCTGCCGCCAGCAACTTTGATAAAGTCTCTCGTGCTTCAGTCGAGGAATGAGAGCCGACCGCGACGTGCTCGCTGTTTCCGGCTTTATCGTCTCTTAACAGCAAGTATCTTTTAGATTCCAAATATGACGATCCTCGTGCAAGGAAGCATAATCGCACATTTTTAGTTTTGGAAATTTTTTGGAAAATATTTAGTTTCTGATAAGTTACATTATTACAGTACTGTACTGTTAGATGCATTCATATACAGTCAAACCAAAAATTATTCAGACACTAGATATCATTTTTTATATTTTTTTACTAGTGGGTGCAGGACACTAGTTCATTTATGTAAGTGAGGGTAGCAAAATAAAGTAAACTGTGACATATTATATCCAAAAATTCTTCATACAGTGGACTACCAGTAAACTTATTCAGACACTTTGACCTGAGCATGTTTTGCTTATGTGTTTTTTTTCTTTAATTGCTAATGCTACCTTTTTACACCACAGACTGAACAAAATTACTAAGCATTGCTTGGTAATTAGTTGACCTAAGTTGGTATTATCTAATTGTGTACTTAAACTTAAAAGCTGACAGCCATTTGTGAGACAGTCTAACAGAAGGATGGCAATTATCAAGATGAATTTGTTCTGACACAGTTTAACCGAGTTCTTGTCATATTTTATTACCATTTTCTAAACTGTAGCGAATAAACTGTGATAATGTGAGAAATGTTGAAGGTGTCTGAATACATTTTGGTTTGACTGTATTTTACTTTATTTAAATATATTTAAATTGAATGTATTATTTTTTCTCTAAACACTTCCACGGACCCCCTTGCGGCCTCTCGGAGGTCCCTGGACCCCAGTAGCCTATGAAAACCCCAGCTTTAAATAATCACATTTTGACATCTAGGGCACTAAGTCAAGTGTTTGCAACCCAACCTTGTAGACATCAAAGCAGGTGTGGCACATATTTGCTCAATTACATAATCATA